TATAGAATTATTAATGAATTTATAAAAAAAAATAGAATTAAAAAATTAATAATTATTATTTTGACGGAAAAAACTTACATCGGTCTCCCTCAGGCCATCAGCTGATCTCGAATGGTAGCCGTGCCCGTCACCAGGTGTCGCATATCCTTCGATCCCACCCACCTTAAAAATCATAGAAAAAAACTATTTGTAATTAGAAAATTTGATAATTGAAATAACTCAAGTGTTAAATATAAATAAAGGTTATTATTATCTTGCACCCAAGGGAAGACCTGGCTGAGAGCCGAACTGCGTTGTCTTCATGATTGGGCTAACACGAGGGATGCGTTCCCATGCCCAAACCTGCACATATGGACATATACATTTTTTAGCACATATTATTGTAATTTATAATAAATAAAATTAATTTGCGATTAACAAGTAATTGAAGTTACCTGCATCAATTGCACGCAACCTTTGATAAATTTTTCTTTCGGTTCGTAGGCCTCGCAAAGAGCTCTATATAACCCGGCCAAAACCGCTTCACCCCAGCTGTACCCCGGTATGGCCTCGATGTCAGTCAACAGGGACAACCAGTAAAGGTTGACCCCGTTGACCCGATGGTCGGGGAAGAAGAAGGATCCAATACACCAGAGTATGAGGGCTCTCGCCCTCTTCTCGTACTCTGATGTATCGAGTCCATCCCTCAGAGGTCGCTTGCACTCTGTCTCTAAACTCGAGAAGTACAAGTACTGGCCAGAAATTTCCCACTGAGTGGGGTCGAAGGCCAGGTCGTCGCGATCCTTGAAATACGTTTAGAATAATTAAAAAACGACCTATGACTTAAGTATACATAAACATAATAATAATTAAAAAAAATAAGCAAAAAAAAGTTTTAACTAAAAATATACCTGTACATACGGGTAATACTCTAGGTAGTAAAAGCAGTAGTCTCTCCACCCTTGGGCAGACCGATGTATGGTGTGGCCCCAGATTGCATCTCCATTGGCGGGGAGGCCAAATAGTATCTGAACGTCCTGTAGCGTAATAGTGGCCTCCCCGAAGTCTAAGTGAAAGGTGTGCGTCTCCGGGCGCCACCTCTCAATCAGGCATGTAATTAGGGCATTGATTGTTTGGATTCGCCCCATCCGAAACAAAGGCCCGAAGCCGGCCTTCTCGATCGCCTCCCATGTCCGGGCATGCTGCTTGTTGTCCTTCAATGCATCCCAGAACGGGGAGTCCGCACGGCGTGGCTTAACCACGCCGTGCCTCAACCCCGCTTTGTCATGAAATACCGCATCGGACCGGTGGCGGGTCTGAAGGTATAGAAGTGATGGGTCATTCGGCCCGGGGTGTGGGGTGTAGGGTCTAGCATTCGATGATGAGGATGCCATTTTCTGCAAAAAAATGACCGAGATTCAACACACACAATAATCATAATATCCTTCAATAATCATAATATCCTTCAATAATCATATATCCTTCAAACATAATATCCTTCAAACATAATATCATTCAACACACACAACCCCTTTAAGTCATTATATCGAATAAACATAATCAACAATCATATATCCTTCAATTAGCAAGTAAGCTCAAAAAATTACTCCATGGTATACTAAACATCACTCTCATTCTCATACGTAACAATTAGAATGAAAAATCACATGAAAAAGAGAGCAATTGTGGCAAATGAGACACGCACAACAAGTGTTCGACAAAAGTCCTCAATGAGTTCTTAGCCCAAATATCAAAATAATCTCAAGAATCCACCATCCCTACCTCAAATCGCCATTGACAACATGAAACCATAAGAAAATGGAAGAAATTTCGTACATATTTGATGGATTCGAGCAAAAATCCAAAATATGAAAAACCCTAGGTTAACCCTAACATCATATTTTTGCTACAAACACACCTTTTATACCTAAATTCATCCTTAAAATGGAGAAGTAGATAAAAAATGAAGAGAAATGATACCTTGATGGACGAATTTGGTGAAG